ATAACTGTGTTCAGAAAAGAGCAATGTGGTTAAGCCAAGTATTGATTTGTATTGGGTGGTTATAAAGATGGTAAATTAAGTCATTTAGGAGAGCTGGCCTAAGGAATGAGAAGGTTGTGGACGTCTGTCTTGACCCCATATTCTAGGATAAATGTGTGGGACTTTTAAAGTTTACTTAGTTTTGAATGAGGAGCAACTGGTCTAGATCTGGTGCTTTTTAACAGACATGAGGTATGAACTGTCTTTGGCTCTATTTTTTGCTTGACTGCTACTCAAATTCCTCCTGAGATTAACATCTAGAGCGGTGGTGACAAATCTATGGCACATGTGCCTCAGCCAGCTGTTTGTTATCATTGAAATATCTACAAGGTTCACCATCACTGACCTACAGGGTTCATGTGCTTAACTCCCAATTCAATTCCCACTGTTTACTTGGATTTTAGTTTTGAACAGATTACCTGTCATAGTACAGTATTTTCTCAAGCCTGGTTCTCTCTCTCTCTCACACGCACACAAAACAAAACAAAACAAAATGTGAAGGTATGAACATTGGAAATTAACTCCCAATTCAATTCCCACTGTTTACTTGGATTTTAGTTTTGAACAGATTACCTGTCATAGTACAGTATTTTCTCAAGCCTGGTTCTCTCTCTCTCTCACAAGCACACAAAACAAAACAAAACAAAATGTGAAGGTATGAACATTGGAAACCTTAACGTGCACTGCTAACAGGACCCCTTATTTCCATTGCCCTTTGTAAAACTTTACTCATGGGAGACACACTTTGCAGGATGCACTTGACCACTCAAAACCTCCCCTGGTTCAGATACAATTATTTTTGGAGAGTTAGCAGTCTTTAGGCATAAAGGGAAGTACTAGTGGATAAGAAAGAAAAAGAACTGTGACTGTCCCAAAGGGCAGTCCCACAAAATTATCAAGTTTTCTCCTTGGAAAAGATCTTGCTTGGTTTGAACCACAAGGGAGGTAGTACTGTGGACTTTGACTTTATTTTATAGACAGTTCTTTCAGATTTTTAGTGAAAAGTCTTCTCAAAGTCTAATTTGATTACAAGGATAGTTTTAATCCACTTCATTACAAAAGTGTTTAAATCAGAAATAGAAGCCAAAGATCAGAAGATATTTTATTTCTTTACTATATAGTTAACGCACTTAAGTGTACAATAGTTTTTAGTATATTCACAAGTATATGCAACCATAACCACCACCAACTTTAGAACATTTTCATCAAAAGGCAAAAATAAAAACCATACCCTTTTGCTATCATGCTACTCCATATCATTCCCTACTTCTGTAACCCATAAGCAACCACTACTTTCTGTATTTACAGATCTCCCTTTCTAGACATTCAATATGAATGAATCAGGTGTGATATTTTATAAGCAGCTTCTTTTACATCATCTACCTTATAGCACGTATCAGTACTTTACTCCTTTTTATGGCCAGATATTCCATTATATGGGTATATCACACTTTGCAAGGATGAATATTTGGGATGTTTCCATCTTTCAGCTTTATAAATAACACTGTGCCTAAGAGCCTCTGTTCCTTGAGAGAGGGCTGGACATTAGAGGGAATTTTAACTAAGAAAGGATTTTTAAATTTTAAATTTTAGATAATCACTCTGGCATTATTTTGAGGTCTGCTAAACTGGTAAACCTAGAAGAAGAGGACCGCATCATAAAACCCAAGCTGAAAGATACTATGAGACTGGGACTGGTTAGAGTTTCACTTTCTAACCTATTGGCAACAATTCTAAATAGTGTAGTAAACCACCCAGAGTCTGGCTCATCTGCACAAAGGCACTCTGTGACTACCAACAAATTCCACCCCAAGCTGGTTCAGGACTAAATTATGGGGCTGAGAAGGCAGACCACAGAGGTTATAATCCAAACCTTTGCCAGCATAAAGAAGTTGGGTATTCTGGAGTGTTAACAGTTTTTTTCACGCTCTGTTTATTAAGGCAAAAACTGAAGGCCTATAGTGAGATCTAAACAAAATCTAATCATCTTACTTTGAAGAAATTTGTTTTCTTTTTAGACTGTGATGAGACAACGTGGCCAAATATTTCAACTCCATAACGCACACAAACTTTTTGTATGTTAGATGGAAAAAGGGATTTTGCAGCCATAATTAAGATTACATATCCGAAAATAGGTAGATTACCTTGTATATCCGAGAATCTGATCTAACCATATGAACCCATAAAAACAGTGAACATTCTCTAGCTGAAGCAGGAAAGATGTGGCAGAAGAATTCAGAGAGCTTCCAAGTGTGAGAGGGACTTGATCTACCAATTTTTGAAAGGAGCCATACAGAAAGCAAGAGAAAGATGTGGGCAGCTTCTAGAAACAAAGATTATCTCCCTGCTGATAGCTGTCCAGGAAATGGGAACTCAGTCCTCAACTGCAAGGAGCTGACTTCTACCAACAACTTAAATGAGGCTTTAAAAACAGTCTTTGTCAGAGTGCCTAGAGTCCACGCAGCTGACAAGGGACTTCAGCCTTGTGAGGCCTTCTGCAAAGGACTCAGTTGAGTCATACATTGCTCACACTTTTGAGCCACAGACTGTGAGATATTTTTATTGTTGTTGTTGTTGCTGTTGCTTATGGCATCGGGGTTGAATTCAGGGCCTCTGCACTGAGCTACATCCCCAGTCTTTTTTATTTTTTATTTTGAAAAGTTCTTGTTAAGTTCTCCTGGCAGGACTCAAACATGTGATCCTCTTAAGTGCTAGGATGACAGGCATGCACAACCATTCCCAGATTAATGGGTGTTAAACCACTAAGTTTGTAGCAAATTGTTCTGTCAGTAATAGAAAATTAATAGGCATTTATAAAGAAAGCAAGCAGACTTCTCAAGCAATGGGACTTTGAGCATAAATCTCTTTCCTCATTGCAAATATGTTTTGATGCATCTTAAGAATTCTTTGCTCAAGAATAATAGTTAACATCTACATAGCCTTTGTACCCCATAGTATATAGCTATATTCAAAGGAAGACTGAAGCCCTTTTTCTCTCCAAGTCCTTCTCTTCTTGGAAAACAGTGGAATGGAGAATGGATTTCAGTGAGATCAAGACTAGGAGACGATGACTTCACCATAAAATCCAAGCTAAAAGATACCAAGAGACTGGGACTGATTGAGGTTTCATTTTTCTAACCTATTAGCAACAAATCCAAATAGTGTAAACTACACAAAAGGAAAACCAATTATCAGGCCACTGTATTAACTAGTTGACAGATGATAGGGCAGGGTTAGCTGGTGTGGAGTGAGTCAGACTAGACAGTGAGAGATATTAATGTTGACTCTTGAGAGCTCTAGAAAAGCTGAGTAGGAAGAATATAGAATTCCAGAAGAAGTATAGACTTGGGAAGAGATGATCATGGAGAAAGTTTAGTCTGGGACACGTTGAGGTTGAGGGGCTTCTGGAATATTGATTTGTAGGAGGTAACTGGATATTAAAAGTGAATCAAGAAGTTCAGTGGATTCTCAAATTAGAGACTAGTACTTGGGAATTATTAACATGTAACTAGTAATTGATAATCTTATGTGAGCAAAGATTAACCAAAAGATGCTTATGGGTTTTTGTTTTGTTTTGCTTTAAAATACAATAAGCTTAGTGGTAGAGTGCTTGCCTAGCATGCATGAGACCCTGGGTTTGAGCCTCAGCACTGCAAAAAAAAAAAAAATAAGCAAAATACACTAAACAAAATGCAGAAAGATATATACAGAGAATAACAAGAGAGTGCGGTAACTAGAAAAGGATTGGAGAAAAGAGAAAAAAGTTAGAAAGGCTGACAAAGAAAGATGGTTAAAGTAGAGCTAATTGATATACTACTAATAATTACAAAAAAAGAAAAATATTTTGGCACATGATCTCTTTTAGAGGGAAAAAAGAAGACGGTAGAGGGGCATGAAGCTAGGTGGCTCCTGTTAGCCACCAGAAAGAGATGCCAGCCTGAGACAGCTAAATTGCTGCCGGGCAAATGACATTAAGGGTGGAACTGGCTACAGAAGAGGGAAGCCCAGGAAACAGTGACTGTTTTCATCCAGCCATTTGCACACAGGGAACTTCATAAGATGGGTGTTTGTAATTTGGGGAATGTTAATACTGTGTTCCTCTTGAGTACATCATTATTTAGTGAAGCTTTAGCAATTTACAAAATCAGTTACAGGGAAATTGGAGATTCCTCCCATCTTCTACTTCTTGAAAACATTGCTGCTGCCTTAAAATGAAAAATCTGTTAGCTTATGTAGTAGCCACCGGTGTATTCAACAGTTTCTTCACGGAAAGCTCACAATGACTTTGCTTACACCTTTTGCTGAATCCCAGTCTGTGAAAGGATGTGAAGGTTGTCACAGCAGCAATGGGAGAAAGTAAGCTGCCCAACACACCAAAGCCTAGGAGGGCTCCCTGCTGAACAGCCAGCTGTGGGGAGAGCAGCCAGCCAGGGAAAGAATCTAAATTTAAGACTGAATAGTTTTCCTTTCCCAGGTGTTTTGGATGGGCTGAAAAAGAATTAAAATTTGATTTATTCCAAAGCACCAAATGATTTTAGGCCATGCTACACTTTCATTCTCTTTCTTGATGCCTTTGGTTTTGACTAAGAATCAAAAAGATCAAAAAATCAAAAAGATCAAAAAATCAAAAAGGATCAAAATTGATATGTGAAATAGGAAGAAAAAATCTAAAGGGGTAGGGGAAGTGGGAGGGATAGGGGAAAGGAAAGAAGGGAAAGGAATAAATATGAGAAAATGAAAAAATGGAAACAAAGTCTCTGTAAATAGGGAGGGCATGGGAATGGGGAAAAAATAAGAACCAAGATACATCATGTACAGGTACAAGATCCCAATGATGAATGTAACTGTATTGTATACCTAAAATGTACCAATGAACTTAATGAAAACAAAAAAAAGCATAAAAAAAAGCTGTCAAGTTTCTTTTAAGCTCTCTAACAGACCTAGTCCAAAACAACAGCGTGTATGAAATGTCTCCAATATCTTTTATTAGTACCTTTTAAAATTCTCTTTTTAAGTCATTGGCCCAATATTGTTGCATTCAGCCACATTTTTACCACAAGGATTAAAAAGTACTTAATAATAGTATAATAATAGAATAATTTTATTCTACTGATTCAATGCCAAATGTATACACAAAATTATCTGGGTAATTCAATAAGTTACAGCATTCCATGTCTTAACAATAACAAGGACATAAATGATCATTTCCTGAGTTAAAAGTGCAATGTAAAATTTAATCTGTATTGCTAATAATTTATAGCATAGAAATGTGATCAAAGTGATCATTTTCTTTATCATGTCATACAACATAGCTGCTTATTTTAAAACAGTGATACAATTTCAATAATAAGGAAATCTGTAATTCATAACAAAGAATATTTTATGTATTTGTTACTTATTATGATTGTTTTTCCAGGTCAAATATTAGTAGTAAAATAAGTTATGGTACAAAATAAAGCCAACAAGTTACCTGTACTCACAGAATATTTGATTTCATTTAAGAAAGTAAAGACTGGATTGTAGTTAACATTGTAATACATACAAAAATTTTCTCTTAAAAATTTCTAAGCAATCACAAATTTAGGTGAATAAAGGAAACTAGCTGAATAAAGGAAAACGACAGTTCTTCATTATGCTGTAAAACTGTGGATCTCGTCTTTGGAAAAGTAAAGATCATGCAGCAACCTGAAAAACAAAAAACACATGATTTGTAGGGGAAATGTTTGAAAGTAAATAAGATCAAGATTTACCATCATATCACTGTATCTTCCATTTTCTCCATTTCATATATATTTAAAAAACTCACATTGATCACTTCTAAAAATCTGAGAATTCTTAAAATCATCGAATATCTAGTCAGTGTTCAAATTTGTACAATTTACTTATTGTAGTAGGCTGAGTCTTTTAAGTATATTTCAATCTACAAGATATTTCCTCATTCTCAACTATTTGTGTTCTGTAATTTATACACTGGGAAAAAGATCAGATTTTTATCTGTTAAGTCTCCTACAGTCCTCATTTTGCTGCATCTCTGTGGGATTCCTTAATAACATGCTCCTATGTCCACTTAATTCCCATAATTTAATAACTGAATCTAGAAGCTTGATCAGATAGAGATTTAATTCTTTTTGGCAAGACTATTTCATAGGTTGTGTTCTTCCAGCCAGTGGCACACAATACATGATTACTTCTCTTGCTGGATGCTAGGAATCATTGATGATGCAAATATAGGCCCATTAGTTCACTAGGGACTAAAACTGGTAACATTCTATTTCTATTATTCTTTCTTCTTTAATCAGCTAAGAAATTCTATGTAGACAAAGGTCCACTCATTTATTATGTGGTTATCTAGTAGTATGGCTCATACAGAAAAGGCAGAACAAATGTTTTACTGTATTCTTCCCCTTTATTCATCAGTTTCAAATTGAGGAATTAATTCCCCTAGCATTTTATTTTCATTCTCTCACTGGACAGAAAAACATATATACAGTACAGCTGAAATACAATTCAACTTGGGAAATAGTATAAAGTGAGACTGAAACCTCAGAAGTCACTCTGTTTAAAATGCTGCTGAAATAATAACCATTTATTTAGTACTTACTATAATAATACATGTAGTCACTGTCCTAAGCATTTCATATGTGTAAGTATTATTACTTATTCCTGTTTACAGGTAAGTGCACTAATACTTAGAAAGGTTAAGCAGCTGACCCTAGGACACCCAGCAAGTTACTGTAAGATGATTATACATGGTAGGGATGGGATTAAAACCCCAAATGACACTTTTTTAGAGCACACACATATTCATCCAAAGGGCCAGTAGAGTACAAAAGTTCTGATGCAACAGTCAAGCCTCTGACTATCTGAGCCCATCCTATCTTTCCAGCTATGCACTGTCTCCACGGGAAAGGGGCTGCATTCTAGCCAAGCCTGTGTAGTCTTTTGAATACTTCTATCCTTAATGCATTTGTTCCTTCTTTCTCACTGCCTGTACTACCTCTTTCTATCTCTTCTAACTGGTAACATTTTAGTCATCTTTCAATAGGTCTTTCCTGACCCCACTGTTCCTGTCTTTCCAATACACACACCCCTAGGTAAAAGTAATTTGTCTCTCTCTGAATTTCCTTAACATCTGGATTTTATCCTACTAGGAGTACTTATGAACTGAGTCATATTTTACTTACTAGTATGTGTATCAGTTTCCACCACTAGACAGTTGTAGACTTGCAAAGCTCAAGGTCTATTTAGACAGTGGATCAAAGGATCATTATTGTGTTTTTTAAAAAATAAGCTTCTGACTCTTACCTATTTTTTAAAAAACATGCTTCTGAGTTTTCCTCTGTTACTATATCATACAAATTGCCAGATGTTCACCAAATATGGAAAGTTTTTTTGTTTTTGTTTTTTTTTGGTACCAGGGATTGAATTTGGGACCTTGTGCTTGGCAAGGCAAGTGGTGGAACCACTGAGCTAAATCCCCGGCCCTATGGAGAGTATTTTTGCAGTGACTATATGTTTGTTTCTCAACACTGAGGAGTGGGTCTAGGCCCACCCATGATCCAGTTCTTTATATAAAAGGGCAGAACATTATGCATTCTTCCATATACTTTAAATCATTTCTAGATTACTTGAGATTAACTTAAGGCCCTAGGAACAAGTATGTTAGAGAACAAGTCTTTTTACAGAAAAACAATAAAATGATACCATAAGAAATCCATGTAATTTTCAATTTAAGAAAGACATATTATATCCATTAAGATGGTAAGGACAAGGAAATCAAAGATATGAGTTCCAAACTAAAATTCACAATGTAGATGCTATGAATTTCAAGTACTGATTTGAAACAAGTTACACCTCAAAAGACAACTCTATGCAGCCCGTTCAAGGGTAATACCAGGAATCCCTACATAATGATTAATGACATTCCTTCCTGGGTAAATCAGCTAGCACAACATTAAAAAGTTAGCTCAGGGGCTGGGGTTTAGCTCAGTGGTACCACCGCCTGCATTGCAAGTGCAAGGTCCCAAGTTCGATCCCCGTTACCTCCCCCCAAAAAATTAGCTCAGAGGCAAAACTGAGAAAAGAGCTATACAGATTAAAGTTGATTAAAAAAATAAAAAAATAATAAGGTCATGACTACCTTCTTTTAGGTATAAAGCACAGCATGATGTTAAGCCAATTTAGCTTTTGGACATATGTGCTGCACTTCTGGCTGATAATGGAGAAAAATTCGCAGTTTACACTTTTAATCTATGTAAGTTGCACCCATCCTTTTAAATGGCATCAACATTAATGTCATCATCCTTAATGTGAAACTTCAGTTTCAACTTTTGGTACACTGGCAATCTGTTAATCTATCAACTCAATGTTCTCATCTTCATCTTCTTCACCACTATCAGAAGATTCTTCCTTTCCTTCAACCATTTTATAAATGGTTCTGCTGTGACATGAATCTCTTTGGCAAGTTCTTTTGAAACATTCTTCTTAGATGCCTCTTCTGACCACCTTGTGATGATCTCCTCTTCCAAATGGATTGGATCATTCATCTCCTTCAAGATATGTGGGATTGTGGAGAGGAGCTGAGCTTGATGCTTTGCTACCACACACTCCAAACCATGAAGAAGGACCACTAAGCTTTGTGGTTATTGTGATAGAATCTTAGGAAATGGCGCTTATATTTCTTAATTTGTTCTCTAATATTAAAAAGAACTTCAGTTAGAACAAAAGTCCATGGCTTTTACATCTAGCCTTTCTGCTTGAGCAACAATTTGTCAGATGATCCAATAATGTCGTATTCTCTCTTTTCCTTAACAAAATCAAAGAGGATATTCACACACTCTTCTATGGTTCTTTCCAAATCATCACTGAGTGCCAGGCTTTTGCAAGGTCATTGATTTACTTCATCCATTCTGTACCTTTGAGCTTCAATTGTATCCTCCTCCTATCATCCTCCTCTTCTTCTTCCATAGCAGTGGAGGACTGATTTCATTTGGTAGTGACGGAGGTGGTGGTGATGTCTTCACTGCTGGATATGGAGCCATTTTCCTTGTCTTTGCCCTTTCTATTTTTCTTTTTTTCCTGTACCACTGTCAATATTTTCAGGTGAATTTTTTTGTCAAGCATGCCTTGATACTCACAGGCTTTATAAGAATTACCCATTTTTTGCTTCTTTGGATTCACATGCAGATCTGTTTTTAGGGTTCTCACACTAGAACAGAGAACCAATTTGTAAATGAATACATCTAACATGTCTTCCAGGTGATTTGCATCATAAGATCCACTGGCAATGTAACGGTCAATCATCCTTTATCTCAAACTGCATCTGTGCTCCCAGATCACAATCAAAGTACTATATTTTGTGGGATATATTGGAAGCCAATTAAGTACCTCTGCAAGTCCACCATGTTGACTATTACTGCCTTGATTCCATTTCCTTTGCCCTCAACCTTGGCAAACAGGGGCGGCATCTTGTAGTGACAGAACTGGTTGGAAACGCTGCAGTTGACAATGACAGACATTTTGGCTTATTAGTGGCTGATCAAGATAAAGAGATCATTAATTGTAACTTTTTAGTATCTTCTATGTGGAGAAGGGATGACATAAATGACTAAGGGTTCTTAGTCTCTGACATGAGAAAATTTTTGCCACTGAGGCTGTATCCTTGCTTGTGTGCTATGTTTTCCAAACACAGGTATCAGTGTCTGTGAAACAGCTCATTTTCATTAAAAAAAAAAAAAAAAAAAAGACATAAACTCAATGTGGCTCACCTGGGTCTGGGAGGAAGGTATAATGGAAACTGGTCCAGAGCAGGGGGGCAGGCAGCAAGCTAGGGGGGTCAAGCAGTGGGACCAGCTGTCCCAGTGACATCCATGTCCACACTGGTAGCACCAAGCCTGGCAAACTGCTGGGGATACAGCTGTAAGCTCCACAGGCTCCTGGGGAGCACCTGCCCTGCTGTAGAGTGGAGGGATGGGAGTGCTGAGCAGGGGTTCTCAAACTCATGATCCTTCTGGCTCAGCCTCCCAAGTGCTGGGATTACAGATGTGTGCCACCACACCTTGCAGACTACTGAGTGCACAGGTACTGAGGTGCCAGTATACAAGGAGAGTACTATAACTTCCAGGGAACTACAATGAATTAAGACAGTACCAGCTTAGAAGCCCATCATTCATAGAAGAAAAAAAAAATCTAGTAATACTGATGCTTCCAAAAGAGATTCCTCCTCAGCTAGTCTTTCAATGCTGAAAGGTTTATGATTTTAATCATATAAAAGTATTATTATACTGCAATCTACAAAGTACTCATTGAGATACATTACTTCTAAGAAAGCAGTGTCACACTGTAGAAGACAATGTAGTTCTTAGCTTTTTTCTTCATAAAAAATTAAATTCTTCTATTTTTTGATTAGGGTCAATCTTTTTATAATTAAAAATAAAACAGCAAGCTAAATCTAGGAATTGTTAGGTTCAGTTTCATACTAACAAGATAAAATACGAAATTTAAGACAATAATATTTTAAAAACATCTAGTACTTCAATAACGGCTGTATTCAAACAAATATTCTAAAGTGTCATTTTAGAGTTAAATCATATCAAGGTGAATTTCAGGTACAGTAGCCACTACTATTGAGTTTTTCATTATCCAGGGCTCAACTGTTAGTCTTGCCTTACTTACTTTCCTTTATATCTTGTTGCCTGGTTTTGAATCACTGTTTTTATTATTTACTGATTTTTACCCAGTTGCAAAAAAAGAAGATTGAAAGCTACAATGAGACTAACACTGCTTATTAATTACTATTTATATTATCAAGCTCTGGTGGAAGAGGTTCAGCTTAATGTCCCAAATAAGATTGTGGCACCAATCTTATGACTGTCCATACTGCCAGTCATTGGCAGAGAACACTGACTGCTGGCTGTATGTGGCTATTGAGTCCCTATCTTAACACTATGCATAATCCTGGCCTCCAACCCTTTACCTGTATAAAGATTTAAAACTTTGTTAACAGATTATTAAAGTATAAGTTCATATGATCAGGAAGACCCAAGAGATAAATGAACCACTTTTATTGAAGATCCTCATTTCAGGGTATAGTGGATTGTTTCCTATCACAGTACTACTCACATTATTCCTTGTTCTATAAATGGCGTTGGTCCACAAATGCAGAGAAGGACTCTGGATTTTTCAAAACTTCGTTTCAGAAATCCAGAAAGAAGAGCTGGTGAAATGTGTCCCTGCTTGCCATTCCATTCAGATGTTGGTGCTGAGAGAACATATTCAACATCAAATCTAGGCAAAGAAAAATTTTAAAAGACTATTATTTTAGACATATTATTAGCATGTTTCAAGTTCAATGAAACACCTCCCCCAAAGAACAATTTAATATATCAAAACTGACACATTTGCCAGAAAATCCCTGGCATACAGGTAAACACATTAACTAAGGAATAGCTTTTGCTATAGACAAGGAAAGTAATTCAGTACTTTTTTTTTTTTTTTTTTTGGTACCAGGGATCGAACTTGGGACCTTGTGCTTGTGAGGCAGGTACCAGAAACACCGACCTAAATCCCTGGCCCAATTCAGTATTTTTTATTGAACTCACTGAAAGAGAATTTCAAGGGATCTCAGAGAACTTCACATTTCTACTAATAATCTGCTTGTATAAATCACAGTAAAGAGTAATTTTCAGTGACATGTATTTTAATGTCTGGCTCAAAAATCTCCAATTCCAAACCCTTACAACCAATTTGACTAAGAAGCCTATTTGCTTGCTGTTGCTGTCTCCAAGACCAACAGCCTCAATTGTGCTCTCCCTTCTGCCTACCTGATGTTAACTCTGTGTTCACACAGAGTTCAGCACCACAGTCCACTAGATCACACAAGCCAGAAATCTAGGATTTATCCTGGGAATCTTGCTGTGCCTCACCACCCATATCCAATGTATTACCAAGTCGTAGTGCCTAATTCTTTGCTTTTCTCAATCTTTATTGCCATTGCACTGCCCATTCTTTATCTTCTTTCTGTAATGCTTCTACTACCCTCCACTCATCTGTTCTTAGTTCAAACATCATGTCCACAGGGAGGTGCTGCAGCCCCACTAGTCTAGGGTCCTTAATTACACATATTATAGAAATATTTTCCTTTTCTTCATGGCATTTATTTCAGGTTGTAAGTATGTAGTTCTATAATGATTATTTTATTGTCTAACTTCCTCATCAGACTACAGACCCAATGAGAGCAGGAATCATGTCTGCTTGTGCCTAGTGGTCAACACACAGGAACACTCAAATACTATGAATAAAACTGGCTGAAGAAAGTGTACAAAATTAATATGGGAAAGAATATCAATCTAAATCTCATAATGTAATTACAGACTATATCTTCCCACAGGCTTAGTAAACTATTAAGTAAACTGCTACTGAAAAGCTATAATAAATTCACAATTCTGTTGCACCTGTTCTGTTTGCTCCATTTTAGCAAACAAAATTATTACCATTTTCAGCAGCATCAAATCAAACACATTTCTGCATGTTCTAGTGAATAACTGAGATATTTCCTGAAGAGCAGTATTGTAAATATTGGTTATCCACTAATTTAAATCTTAAGAAAGAGTTGATGTGAACAGCTGCTTGTTTGAAAGGACAAGGGAACCAAATAAAAACACAAAAAGAAAATGTGTCTGCCTTCATATCACTGTGCCTCAGCTGGGTTAAGTTTCCCTAAAACTGGCATAGACCAACTAAGAACACCAACCAGGTCTAGAGAACTATCCTGGCTCTGCACAGCCTCTTAAGTCTTAGAGATCTACTTGTGGAAGAAGGGAGGAAAACTATGTAATTTCCTGCAATTGTAATATTTCCTGATTTTAAATTCAGAATACCTGCAGAACTATGCTTTATTTCTACCTTTGAGGTTCCGATTTAGTATTAGTATTAATCTACTCTATAGAGAACAGCTTTCCCAAATACAGGTTGAGCATCCCTAATCTGAAAATCTGAAATCAGAAGTGCTTCAAAATTTGAAACTTTTTGAGCATCATGTCAATGCTCGAAAAGTTCTGGGTTGTGGAGCATTTCAGATTTCAGATTTTCAGATTAGAGATGCTCCACAGTAAAGTCTATGCAAATATTTCCAAACCTCCAAAATCTAACGCTTCTGGTCACAAGCATTTTGGATAAGTGATAGTCAACCAGTACTTTCTTTCACTAACTTTTTTCTTCCTAGTCCTTAAAATTTGAATAATGTTAGAAAATCACAGAATGTGTGCTTGCTTAGGCAGCAGAAATACTAGAAAAGTACAGCATGTGGTATTTCCTTACTGCTCCATAAGGGGATAGTTCTTATTTATCTTGTTCAATAGTCTATACAGGCCTGGCTCAACAAAAGAGCACAAAAAATAAATTTGTTGAGGGAATAAAGGAATTTATTTACAAAGAAGCCATACTGGCTAAAATTTAAAATTGTACTTGGAAAAATAAGATTATGTGCTTTCATATATGAAATTACATACATAAATGTGAATTAATAAGTACATTTTTCTGGAAAGAAGATTTATAGTTTTTCATTAGCATAACAAGAGGAGTCCCAAAGCAGTTGTAGAGCTACTGTCTAAGAAATTTCTAATTATATATACATATTGGGATAAAGACGGTGCACGGTTACATTACAAGAGAACAGTGGTCTCCTATGGCTCTATTTTTAATGAGCGTACCACTGGAATAAAATGAGATATATACATTAATGCTGAAATCTATGTAATCTGTAATAAGTACCTATTCACAATTTTTATTTGCTGAGATGCTTTTTTCTTAAAAAAATGTCTAATCAATGACCTACTTTCTGCAGGCATCTACTAGGTGCATGGTAAGTAACTAGGATCTTTATATAAATGGTATACATTTCCTATGCATTTTGTATTTATTCACATAATGGTTCCTTGGTTACAATTTTAGGTACCTCATGGAAAAAGTGAAGAGATGGCATGAATACAATTTAAGGATATTGCAAAGAGGCTGCTATCCTGCATATCACCTTCACTGGATGAGAAAATAGCTTAAACTGGAGCAAGAATAAATCTAAGTTAAAATAAAGAATTCCTTAATGAAGGATTTCTTATATCAAGATATAGATCTTCTCTTGGAATTTTCTGAACAAAGGGCAACTTACTGTCTGAAATAATTACAGCACTGAGTGTGATGGAAAGAGCATATCAATAAACATCCTGAAATTCCTCTCTGCCCTATGATTTCAAAAGAGCCAGAAAAGACTAGGACTCTTGAGAAGGTTACCTAAAAATAAATTCAGAAAACCATAAAATGCCAAAAAAAGAAAAAAAGTCATGGGGGAAGAGGGGGTAAGAGACCTTCTGCTAAATGCCTCTGTGTTCTCAAATGCCAATGAAAATAAATCGCTTGTTAGCCCAGTGGTTCTGGTGCCTGCCTCACCAAGCTCAAGGTCCTGAGTTCGATCCCCAGTACCAAAAAAAAAAAAAAAAAAAATTTTTTTGTTTTAAAGTAGACCTACAGTGATCTCAGATAAAAGTCTTGAAATACAAATCTATTCATTCTAAATCATATGCAGATCCTGCATATCCAGCAACTCATTTCCCCCTCCTTCTGCTTTAGCCATTCAGCTTCCAATATCTACCTCCTTCATATTGTTCACAGACCTACCCTGCTTCCTCATTTTTACTGCTACCATGCTAAATTGGGCCCTTACTTTCTATCTAAAATACCACTCTTAATAGTCTTCACCATAATCTGTCTGATACTGCACTGCCGTATTAGTTTTCCTAAAAACGCAGATCCAACCTTCCAACTTCTTTGTTTAAAAAACTGCAGTGATTCCGCATTGCGCTCAGATTAACATCTCACAGTACTTGGCTTACCTAGCTTTTCCTACTTTATCTAATGAAAAGTACTAAGGACAAAACTGAACTCTGCTCTGTCACTGAAATACTACAACATTCTGACCCTTGTGTTACTTGTGTACTACCAACACTTCTTTTCCTATTCACAAAAATGCCAATTTGTTCCCCAAAGCCCAGCTCAAAGCCCTTTCTTCCACGCAGCTCTGATATCCCCATTCTCACAAAAATACAATTACCCTTTCTTATCCCTAGACCTCCATGACATATCATATGTTCCTCTGAAGACATAGCTTCTATAATTACTGATATACGATTCCACTCTCCTAGGACAGAGAAGGTGAGCCAGTCCCAGCACCCAGAAGGAGGCTCCCCCACCACCATTACTGATATACTTCAGAACTCCACCACCAAGACTGAGTGAAAGGATGAGATCTAATTCTAAAGAGTGTTTCAGTGTTTTAACTATAAAATTTCAGAGAATTTATATATGCATAATTCAGTAATAATTTAATAACAATTACGATTTGACTGAAGAGCATTACCCACTCATCTATAAGCCTTTAAGGCTAGGGTTCTCCTATTCCCACTTAAAGCCGCAGTCTATGGCACAATTCTTGACAGTGTTCTAAAGCCATCTGTGTAAGCAGGGCCTTTTTCTTTCTAGCGAGTGCTTGAACTAACCTCACTCAAAAAAGGCCAGGAGTCTGCAGAGATCCTAAATCAAACAATGTCCATCTAGCACCTCAAGCAAGGAATGCTAAGTCTCCAGAAAAAGGAAAAAGAAAGTGGAGGAGGGAGGGAACACAAATAAACAAGCACAAGTGACCAAGAGGAGAAAGAGAAGGAGCAGAAGAGGGAAGATTAAAGGCAGGCCAGAATCACTTCTCTCAGCAAGCTGGAAAGTACCACTCACCTGGTGAGTGCTGTTAGAGCCAGGCATCCAGAAGTGAAAAAAAAGGGGTCTTTCCTCATCCTCAATACTCCAGCCTATGTACTGTCATCAAACCCAATTACATAGATCAAAACAAAACACACACACAGCTTTAAGACACTTTATGTTCAGAAGCTGTCAACACATTCCTTTTTACCTGTCAATTTGTAAATTATATTTTACTCCTATTAATAAATTGAAATTACAATGTCTATTCATTAAAATAGTAAGTTTCTTTTAAAATTTTATAAATGTCTCTTTAGGAGATATATCTTAAATAATACTTCTGTCAAAAACCTACCAGAAATATATTTTTTAAAACCTCGCTTAAAAAGTCTACCATTGTCTAAATATATATATTTATTTATTTATTGGCAGTGAAGATTGAACATAGTGCCTCTGTGCTGAGCAATAGTTTTAGCCTTTTTTCATTTTTAAATTTTGAGACAGTCTCGCTAAGTTGCTAAGTTATCCAGGCTGGACTCCAACTTTCAATACTAGTGCTTCAACCTCCCAAAGTGCTGGAATTAATGTTTGGGGAAATAGGAGCTCTAACAGTTGAGATAGAAACCACACATTTAGAGATCCTCTGTAACCACAACCCAAACATCTGAGCAAAGGCTTCACAGTTCTCAAAGCATTTACATTTTCTTCTTCAAACCTCACATTTCTTAATGAAATAAACAGGAAAGATGTCATTATTTTTTTGGAAGATAAAAAAGGCAAGCCCATAGAGCAAGGTAATTTTGAATAGTCTCCAGTTATAAAGCTTAAGAATGAGTACAATGGAAACTTGAATTTAGGTTTTAGGCTTAATAAAAGCTTCTGAGTGTAAAAAATTCATGGAAACCTAAGAACTAGTATTTCGTTAAGTCATTCTTTAAATTGCCATACAGTTACCAAAATATAGCAAATACTCTTAAATTTATGCTTTAAGTAGGTAAATAACAGTAACTATTCAGTAGGGATAAATGAGTTCAGGTTAGCCTTTGTGAAAATAATTTATTAAAAGAGAACAGGGAGGATGATGGGAGGTAACAGAGACTAAAAAAAAAAATAGAAAAGGTCACTGCATTACCTTATTATAGATATTCAGAAAGCATTTAGAAGAACTGGGAACCCCTTTGACAGATAAGTTCCTAAGGGCTTTAACTATAAAAAGGACTAGGATTTTACTTACATCAGACTATTGTTTTTACTTCAGATACTTTGTGCAACTTATAAAGCCCTGAATTCTCGCTTTTAATGATTATAAAAATGCTTTGAAAGTCTGATAGCATGTCCGATTCATTCTTGTAAAAGAAATTTATTATTGAGTTTCTTACTATTTTCAACACTTTCAGGGGAAGTTGTTGCATATGCTTACTTAAATTATCTTATTTTAGTTGATGGTTCTGGACTCTTTTTCAATACAACAAATTCTCAATTTGCTATCCTTTCTGTCTCTGAGCTCAGTTTCACTAGAATTGTTTTCTATGGACTACAGCAGTATTTCACAAGGTGTACACCAGTAATAGGGCTACATATAAATGTTAATGCAAACAAACAAAAATGAAGAAAATCTTGCTAAACAATAAAACTCCTTCTAGAAAAAAAATCACTAAGAAATCTTCTTCTAGGGGAGCCACTAAGAAAGGCTCTAAGAAATCCTGTAATATCTTTAATTTTGTTTAATCTCATCAGATTTATTTTATCTGCACCATTATACAAGAAAATCTTGAATTAGCAAACTGATTATACAGAACATTTTCAATGAAACCCAATTCAGTACAATATAAATTTACATATTACATACCTAGATTTTTCTCAGACAGTATTTCTTTGGGTGTAGGGGCACTGATGTTATTTACATTTCTAGAAGGGTGAATTAACTTAATATTTTTCTTTGAAGAGCTTCCTTGTCAATTCAAAACTTAGAGAGCCAAAGCCTAGACTCAGTACACAGGTATGATTATTTAGAGTTAACACCAGTGTGATACCTTTTATCCTTAAATGCTAATTTTTCCAATTGGTTTCTCCAGATTATATCATCCTCTGTTTTATTGAAGAACATCAACTTCAACTTCCTTAAAAGAAAAAAATGTATTAAATGTAACTAGTTACATTTAAAATATATATTACAAGTGGAACATCTAAGGTGAACTAGGGTGAATGCTTTTAGTGATTAGGTAACCAAAAATATCAAAAACTGAAATGAGATAAAAGAACCAAGTTAATAAAATAGCTATGACTACAGGAGGCAGAGTAAGAAATGACAAATGAGAGAACAAGAACAAATCTAATAAGGTCCAAGTAATAATCATTTAAAAATACCTTTCCAGTGATGGCAAACCTTTTAGAGCTTTCAATGTTAACAAACAGCTGGCTGCAGCACACATGCCATAGGTTCACCACCAGTGCCTTACACTAATTAAACAGCCTCACAAACAATAGTAATTAAAGGTAAAATTACATACCTGAGACTGGGTATGTTACTCAAAGCATAATTCAGTATTTTAACCATTGGTGTGAAGCCTGTTCCAGCTGCCACTAAAAAGAGATCTTCTAATTCCTGGAGTCTGGATTTTTTAAAATTGCCTTCGGGACCACTTACAGAAACAAAATCTCCTAAATAATGAAACATAAACTAAATCAGAAAAATAATTGAGCAGAGAAATTGAGAAAGCTGAATTTAGAACACTAATGATTAACAGAATAAATATTTAATCTGCTGACTACATATCAGTCTTTAATGTATGTAAAAGCAGTTTTAGAGATAATCATTAGGCTTCTAGTATGCCTGGATTATATCATTATAATCAAATTAAAAACAAGCTTTAATTATATCATTTCCCACCATTATTTCCACAATCTGTAAAGTCTGTAATTTATAAACTACTGCAAAGTACTTATTCACAAATGATCAATAAAGGGTTGACTATTAAATTTTAACCACCTCAAAAGCAGAGTCCAGGTATACCTGTCCTGCACAATAAATGGTACAGAATAGATACTGGCTATTCACATACTGATTATAGTGACTGGATTAATAGGAAAGAAGATTGAAATAGAAACATTTTCTAAATCTTACATCAGTAAATGTGCTAATTTCTCCTCCATCAAATTTTTGAAATACCTATGAATTAAAATAAGAAGAGCTATTCTGAGTTTAACTGAGTCAAAAGCAATGAGCTATACTTTGAGCATGCTGGTTTCTGATCTAGAATCAACACAGGTGAAAAATCAGTACCCAGCCTCTACAGTGCAGCTGATATCACCACCATGAAGCATTCACAAAAGAAAACTGTTGTCAAGGTCTACATTTGGAGATTTCCAATTTAACTTTAAAAATGAAAAAAATAATAGATACCCATTATTTTTAAATAATTTAAAATATTCTGGTTTATTTTAAAATACTTGGATGGTCAGAATGTTTCCTTTGTTTTCCATTGCAGAATAGTAAAAAAAAAAACCAAAACCCCATAGTAATCAATGAACCCAGTATTGGAAAGTAATAGAAACTCCTTGGTACAATTTGAAAGGGACCATAAGATCAGAATGCCCCTGGGAAAAAGCCAATAGATGACTGTTTACTAAACAAGTTTCACAGGTTGATAATAACTTGGTAACTTTTACCAACAGTTCAGTCCTTCCAATGGCACAAAATTGATTAGATTTAGTCAGGATAACTGATTTTAATCAACTTCACAAGAGTACACATGACAAGTACACATGACAAAATGACAACTGACTTCTTATAGGTGGCATCTAGTACACTGAACTTAGTATAGATATTTAGCACCCTAAACATTAAATGTCCCAGGCAGAGATCTTGTTTCTGTTGTACCCAGTGAGAGAGAACCAACCAGAGACTGATATTAAATCCACACAGGAGTTTATTACCAGCTGGGACCCGAGCCGAGCATGGGATGTGAGCCTCGACTGGGGGTTGACAAACATGTTTTATACACCTTTGAGGCCAACAGTTTCTAGGCCCCCCTATGAGATAGAACTAGTAAAGCAAGCAAAAGGTACAGAAGCAGAACGTCCTGCTGTTAGAACATTTGTAAAACAATAGTTGATTAATATGAGAAAATGGAAAAATAGGAACAAAATCTTTGTAAATAGGGAGGAATGGAGGGGTTGAAGGGAGGGCTGGGCAAGGGTGAAAAATAAGAACCAAGAGAGACTATGTAAAGGTGCAAATTTCCAATGATGAATGTCATTATATTGTATATCTAAAATGTACCAATGATTAGAATGAATAATCGATAATGCAAAATAGGAAGAAAAGGTCCAAAGGGGTAGGGGTAGTGGGAGGGGCAGGGGAAAGGAAAGAAGGGAAAGGAAAAATGATGAGAAATGGAAAAAATGGAAATAAAGTCTTTGTAAATAGGGAAGGGTGGAGGGCGTGAAGGGAGGGCTAGGAATGGGGAACAAAGAACCAAGATGCATTATGTAAAGGTACAATTCCCAATGAGAAATGTAATTGTGTTGTATACCTACAATGTACCAATAAAAGAATTTAATTTAAAAAACCTTGTTACAAAGCTAAAGTAATAGAAACAATATGGTCTATGTGTCTGTTTTGATTATTATAGCTTTGTAGTATATTTTTATAACTGTTAATGTGATCCCTTTAGCTTTGTTCCTTTTTCCTTAAAATTACTTTTGCTCTTTGGGAATTTTTGTTGTTCCATATATGAATTTTAGGACTTTTTTCTATTTCTGGAGAAAATGTCATTGGAATTTTGATGGAGATTGCACAGATCTGTAGATCACTTTGGGTAGTATGGTCATTGTTAGTTGAATTTATGACAAAGGTGCTAATCCAATGTAGCAGTACCATTCAACAAATGCTGCCATGCAACTATATAGCCACAATGAAAGTAATGAAGTTACACCTCTACCTCACACCATATACAAAAATTAATTCAAATTTAACCAAATACCTAAGTATAAAATCTAATACTATAACACTTTTTAAAGAAAACATGTATTACTCCTTATGACCTTGGGTTAAGCAACAAATTCTGAGATACAATACTAAACATATAAGCAATAAAATTAAAAAAACAAAAAAAAAACAATAGTTGATTAATTGTTGTTTCTAAGAGACTCTCTAAGGGGAGGAAGTTTCTAAGCTTCCTCCTTCTGAGTTCATCTAAAGGGCAGGCAGGTGGGTCAAGCAGCAATATGGAGTCTGTCTTGCTAACAAGGGTCCTTCAGTTTCCATTATTAGAATATTTAAAAGGCTACATTACTCTTATTACAGGTTGCTGGTGAACATGGGATTAAAACAAAAAGATGAGGAAACCTCCAGATTGGCGCAAGACGGCTCTGAGCCCAGAGGAGGTGAGCCATGTGGGCACCAGGAACACACACCCACCCAACCCCCCCACCTCCACCTACTCCCGCGTCAAAATGAGAAGACAGGTAAACAAGCCCCAGAACCAAACTTCCAGATCACCTACAGCAACCCCAAAGGGAAACAAGATGGAACACTCTGATACTCAACAACCTGGACTCCCTGAACTACCAACGAAAGAAGATCTGGAAGAAATGAAATCAGAAATAATTTCTCACATAACAGCAAAGATTGTGCCCATAGTGCAAGACATGATTAATCTAGAGAGGACACAGATAAAAAAAATAGAGGAGCTGAGAAACATGATGGAATGCTAACATGGGAAACCAATTGAATCCATAAAACAGATGCAAACAGATTCCAGGAGATTAAAAACTCCATTGAAAGTCTATGCAGCAGAATGAGCCAATGTGAGGACAGTATTTCAGATATAGAAGATAAGATTGCAATTAGTGACCAGGAAAAGAAAAAATTCTTTAAAATTTTAAGGGACCATGAGAAATCAATCAAGTAGCTGCTAGATGATGCAAAGAAAAATAACATAAGACTGATTGGAGTCAATGAAGAAACAGGAGGGAGTGCAGATAACATAAAAATCTGTTTACAAAAGTGATGTCAGAAAATTTCCCAAGCAGGGGAAAAGAACTTGACATACAGATAAGTGAGGCATATAGGACTCCAAATAGCCTTGATCAAAAGAAATCTACACAGAGGCATATAATTGTTAATATTCCATAAACCCAACAGAAGAACAAAATTCTACAAGTAGTCAGAGAAAAGAAACAAATCAAATGCAAATGAAAGCCAATCAGAATCACAGCAGACTTCTCAATGCAAACCCTCAAGGCAAGAAGAGCTTGGAGTGATGTATTCCAAGCCCTAAAGGAAAACAGCCTCCAACCCAGATTGATGCACCCTGCAAAACTATCTTTCAAAATTGATGGAGAAATAAGATACTTTCATGACAAACAGCACCTTAGGAACTTCATGAATACCAAACCAGCACTCCAAAAAATTTTACAAACCATCCTAGGAAAAGACAATGGGGATCACAACCACAGGAAGCCCAGCAAAATGAATCCATCAGGCATGACAAGAAATTAAGGCAAAGGGGGAGAAGACAACAAAAAGAAAAAGTCATGACAATGATAAGTCAATACGTTTCAGTTATAACCGTCAATGTTAATGGTCTCAACTCAACAGTCAAAAGAAATAGACTGGCAGAATGGGTCAAGAAGCAAGATCTGACAATATGCTGCATATAAGAAACACACTCAATTGAAAAAGAAACTCATAGACTGAAAGTTAAAGGGTGAAAAACAGACTCCGTGCTACAGGAACCTGAGAAAAAGCAGGAGTAGCTATCATATTTGGAGATCAAGTGGACTTCAAACCAACACTGATTAAGAGGGACAAAGAAGGACACTACATCCTCATGAAGGGAACAATCCAAGAGGAAGAGATGACAATCACAAATATCTATGCACCAAACACTAGTGAGCCCAACTATATAAAGCGAACACTAACGGACATGAAAAATCAAATAAGTACTAATACAATAGTAGTGGGGGACCTCAATACTCCACTGTCAGAAATAGGTAGAACAGCTAGACAAAAAAACAAGCAATGAAATACTGGAACTCAATCAAACTCTTGAGCAAATGAACTTAACAGATGTTTACAGTGTGTTCCACCCCACAAAATCAGAATACACATTCTTTTCAGCCGCACATGGGTCGTTCTCCAAAATAGACCACATACTTGCTCACAGAACATATTTAAGTAAGTGCAAAGTAAGTGAAGTTATTCCCCTTATATTATCAGATCATAGTGGGATGAAATTGGAGAGCAATAGCAAAAGAATTTCATAAACATGTGGAAATTAAACAACACACTTCTGAATAACCAATGGGCCACAGAGGAAATTAAAGAAGAAATCAGACAGTTCCTACAATTAAATGACAATAACAATGTAACATATCGGAATCTATGGGACACAATGAAAGCAGTCTTA